AGATACAGAACCGCCTTGTCTTTAGCTCGAACGGCCTTCAATGCGTTCAGCTGGGCATTTGAATACCCATCTGTGTTCGTCGGTTCCATATACCCATTCTCGACCACATCCCAGTTATCTTGGGAGCCGAGAAGAGGCTTCATTTGTACTTTCCAGTTGTCATAGTAGGCGCTTTTTGTCAACTTGGGTAGCGAGATGCCTTTGGTTAGACCTGTCATTTCCTCTCAAGTGTTTGCACTCAACTCATACACCTCACAAAGCTCTGAGTCGCTCCTCTCTCTTTCTCAGACAGCACACACTGCGGCGTTCTCTCTTGAGGCTTGGTAGGTTCTCTCACGCTCACCTCACACACAAGCTTTGATGTCAATTTGTTGGTAACAGGAAAACGAAACAACACTCTCAATATTTCTCCTGATGCTATTCCAAATGAGTTGTTACAAGTATTTATGACCAAAATATTTGCCTCTTCAAATGCCAAAAGTAAATCATGATACTTATAAAATAGGTTTACAACCCATTGGTTATACCACTCGTAATGAAAACCATTAATATTATTCTAGGAATACTAACGTTTAATTTAAGTTTTACAATATCACCTGCATAGTTCGGAAATTAGCCACACCTGTCAATGCAATTTGAGGTTGGTCATTGAAAGACGAGTCTTCATCCGAAATTGCAATCTCCTCCTTATCTTCTAGGACCTCTAGAATTTGTAAATTTTTGTGGGTTACACTATGCTTGGGAGGATAAGGTTCATCACAAAAATAACTCTGAAAAAATAGATTAACTGAAATATGATTTTTTTTATTATATCAATACAAAGAGATGATACAAGATATATACAAGAGACCTAAACTATTTTAGGAAATATAATAACTCTATTTTATGCTAGGATCCCTTGATTTATGGGATTGCTCCTAATTATTCTTTCCTTATTTATTCTTTCCTAAAATACTATTTGATTTCTCACACTCCCCCTCAAGCTGGTGAATAGATGTTTTCCATTCCCAGCTTGGATACAATCTTCTCAAAATTATGGCAGCCCAGTCCCTTGGTAAGAATGTCTGCAATTTGGTCTTGAGAGGACACATATGGAGTGCATATCAAGCCACTATCAAGCTTTTCTTTGATGAAGTGTCTGTCTACTTCAATATGCTTTGTTCTATCATGCTCGCACTGGGTTGTGGGCTATACGGATTGCTGACTTATTATCACAATAGAGCTTCATAGGTTCTTCCCACTTTATCCTCAAGTCTTCTAAGATGATTTTAAGCCATAGCAACTCACATATACCTTGTGCCATGGCTCGGAATTCCGCTCAACGACTGGACCGAGCCACTACACCCCGCTTTTTGCTTCTCCAAGTCACAAGATTTCCTCCAAGAAAGGTGCAATATCCTGTAGTTGACCTCCTATCCACAAGTGACCCTGCATAATCGGCATCGAGTATACGCTTCAAGTTTCACATTACCATTCTTTTTGAATAGAATCCCTTTTCCTGGAGTTCCTTTAAGGTACCTGTAAAATTACGTGGGCAGCTTGTAAATGGGTCTCCTTTGGGCTATGCATAAATTGGCTAATTAAACTCACTGCATAGGCAATATCTGGCCTGGTATGTGACAAATATATAAGTCTGCCCACTAATCTTTGGTACATATCTTTTTCAACGAGCAACATCTTCTTCTCGCATTTCCAAGCTTTAGGTTTGGTTCTAATGGGGTACTAGCAGGTTTGCAAGCTGCCTTGCCAGTTTCCTTGAGCAAATCAGTGATGTATTTCTGTTGAGATATAAATATCCCTTTCTCGGAGTGGGCAACTTCAATTCCCAAAAAATATTTTAGTTTTCCCAAAGTCTTGATCTCAAATTCCTTGCCTAAGCATTGACTTAATAATTGTTGCTCTTCTTTATTATCTCCAGTTAATATTATGTCATCCACATATACCAATAATATTGTTACTCCCCCGACTTGGAATGTTTAAAAAACAAAGTATGGTCCCCTTGGCTTTGTTTGTAACCCAGACCTGTCATAACTTTAGTAAACCTACCAAACCATGCACGGGGGGACTGTTTTAACCCATATAATGCCTTTTTCAACTTGCAAACAGTGTTAGTAGCAACATTTTTACCATATCCCGGAGGTATCTCCATATAGATTTCTTCTTCAAGGTCTCCATGTAGGAAAGCATTCTTAACATCAAATTGTTCCAAGTTCCAACCATAATTGGCAGCAAGGGACAATATCACCCTAACTTGTGTTCATTTTGGCAACCGGAGCAAAGGTCTCCAAATAATCAACTCCATAGGTTTGGGTGAACCCTTTGGCAACTAGTCTTGCCTTATATCTCTCAATTGATTCATCGACCTTGTATTTCATCGTATAGACCCATTTACATCCAACTGGCCTCTTTCCTATTGGTAAGGTGACTTACTCCCAAGTGTTGTTTTTCTCCAATGCCTCCATCTCTTCATCCATGGCTTGCCTCCATTTTCTCGTCGGACAATGCCTCGAGATAGGGTATTAGGTAGAAGTACGAGTGTTTAGGTTTACTAGGAAGGTTTTATGGGTAGGAGAGAAATTTTTAAAGGACAGGTAATTTGAGAGAGGGTAGAGTGGTTGTTTGGTGCATTTTCTTGTTCCTTTTCTAATGGCAATTGGGAGGTCAGGATCATTTTGGGTTTCAATTTCAACCTCGCACAGCTGGAGAAAAAATTGTTACCTCTTTTTGTGGAGTCGAGTTGGATTCTTGAACATGGCTTGATCCTGGAATGGCCTTAGTCTTCCTTGAGTACACCAGCTTCTTACCAAATTTTCCAGTTTCAACATCTTCTTGATCAGCTTCACAATTAATTTCACTTTCTTGACCAACATCCTTTGCTTGACCAATTCCTTGACTTGTTTCATTTGTTACAACTTCAATTTGATCTTCAATTTGATCTTGTTTAGGTTCAAATATCAAGTCTGGAAGAGTGGGAAAACCAGAATTACTACTTTCAATATGATTTCGTTTAGGTTCAAATGTCAAGTCTGGAAGAATGGGAAAACCAGAATCACTACTTTCCTTATCTTCCCTGAAACTCTCCCCTTGAAGATAAGATTGATGGAAATAACCCTCTTGTTCATTGAAGGTAACATCCCTAGACACAAAGAATTTTTTGGATGGGGGGTGGTAGCATTTATACCCTTTTTGAGTGGGTGAGTAACCAACAAAGACACACTTTAAGGCTCTAGGATCAAGTTTTCCCCATGCTCGTACTATGAATATGGACATATGAGATGCACCCAAAAACTCTTGGTTTAAAATTATTTGTAGTAGACAAGTTTGGATAGAAAGACGACAAAACTTCCATAGGGCTTTTTGATCCTAAGACTCTAGAGGGTAGTCTATTGATAAGGTATGTTGCTGTAAGGACAGCTTCCCCCCAGAAATTTTTTGGGACACTTTTTTGGAACAACAATGCCCGAGTCTGATTTAATAGATGTCCATTTTTCCTCTCTGCGACCCCATTCTGTTGTGGTGTTTTGACACAAGAGGACTCATGAATTATACCTTCTTTTTGACAAAAAGAATTAAGGACATGATTGAAGTAATCTTTGGCATTATCTGACCTAAGCCTCTTAATATTAACACCAAACTGATTTTTTATCATGGAGTGGAAGTTTAGGAAGACAGAACTGACTTCTGATTTTTGTTTAAGTAGGAAAACCCAAGTGACCCTTGTAGAGTCATCTATAAAGGTGACAAACCATCGAGTACCAGACACATTTGGAATATTAGAAGGTCCCCATACATCAGTATGAACAAGATAAAAAGGGAAATTGCTAATTTTATTACTTATTGGAAAAGATATACGTTTGTGCTTAGCAAGTTCACACACCTCACAATGAAGACTCTCAACATCTAACTTGGTAAACAGAGAAGGAAATATAATTTTGATCACTCCAAAAGAGGGATGTCCCAACCGACAATGATAAAGCATGATTTTTTCTCTGTTGGTCATCAAGGATTCAGATATGAAGGAGTGAGAGATTCTATTCTTGTTGGGCAGACTTGGATCTTCGAGATAATAAAGGCCATTCCATTCTCTAGCATGTCCAATCATCCTCCCCGAATCCTTATCCTGAAATACACAATGATCATTGGAAAAAACAACTTTACATGACAAATCCTTTATAAGTTTTTGTATAGACACTAGGTTCGTGGACAACTTTGGGACATGGAGAACGTCTTTTAAGGTTATTAAAGGATTGATTTGGATATTTCCTTGACCAGCTGCAGTTATAAGGGTTCCATCTCGCTGTGGCAATTTTCTTGTTGCCTGGGACATGGGGAATATGTGGAGAAGTGTTTGGCTAATGGTGTCATGTGATCTGTGGCTCCAGAGTCCAATATCCAATAATGGTTAAAAGGCGTATCTAAGACATTTAATCCAAAAGAAGGTGGAAACTTACCTGAGTATGCCAAAGAACACATACCTGTAGGTTTTTCCAGCTTACTAAGAATGGTTTTCACCCTTTCTATCTCCTCTTCCCTTGACATTATAGCAAAAAAGTGTGATGCAACAACAATGCAGGTTGTCGTCTTAAGATTATGAAAAATGCAAGCAGCAATGCAGAGTTGTCGTCTTAGGATTAAGAAAAATGCGAAGGCAATGTAGGCTGCCGTCTTAGGGTTAAGAAAAATGCAGGCAGCAATGCGGATCGCCGTCTTAGGGTTACAAAATATGCAGCGAGCAATGCAGGCTGCCGTCTTAGGGTTTATCGAGCGCAGACAGAGCTTCCTAGATCGGAAGCTCTGATACCATCTGCAAAAATAGATTAACTGAAATATGATTTTTTTTATTATTTCAATACAAAGAGATGATACAAGATATATACAAGAGACCTAAACTATTTTAGGAAATATAATAACTCTATTTTATGCTAGGATCCCTTGATTTATGGGATTGTTCCTAATTATTCTTTCCTTATTTATTCTTTCCTAAAATACTATTTGATTTCTCACAATAACAAATGGCCCTTAGCCCTCCTCTCATTCATGAATACAGGTGTTAGATTCCTACCCATTCGAAAACGGGAATTAGGTACAATAGAAGGAACCTCTGTTGGAATAATTCTGTTGGACGCTGCTGGTTTCGTTCCCAACATACCCTTCCCTTTGTTGATGACTACCGAAGGGACGGCTGAAGTAGTGTTAGCATCCTTATATAGCCTAGTCAGAGAAAAAGCTTTATGCACAGTGGTAGGCTGCAACATTTTAACTAACATTTGTATATCTTTTCGTAAATCCCCTAAAAAAAACTCAACATAACATGTAATCTTCAGTCAAATTTAATTTGTTGATCAAAATATCAAATTTCTCAAAATATTCAGTAACAATTCTTTCTTGTCGCAACATCATTAGTACAACCACGACATCCTCATTCACCTCCCCAAATCGCTCCAATACTAACTTCTTATAATCGTGCCACGATAAACAGAACAATTAGCAAACCTATCCATAATAGTGTGCCATTGTAATGCACGTCCTTCCATATGAGTCACAGTCAATTTCACTGGCATATCCTCTAGAGTATTATCAATAAGAAAGAAATTATCACATTGATACGTCCATTGATTAACATTGTCACTATTGAATATAGGAATATCGATTCTAGCTAAGCGTGTCCCCCAAGAATAAGAAGAGGTATTGTGCCTTTCACCTTTATGTGTATGTTGATCATGTTGAACATTTTGAGCCAACAAACTCTGCATTGTCTCCGTCAACAACTCATTTAATATGTGTTGCACATTCCATTCTTGCTACCAACCCATTCTTGCATTACGCGCCACCTCTGCCATGATCGACTACCCAATCAAATCGCCTGAAGGATACCACTTGTTAAGGTAAAATCTAATTCCAGGAAGTTGGAAACGTATTTCGACGATTAGGAAGAATAGGAGTTTCCGTAATGAAAAAAAAAAAACAAAACAAAGGAATTTTATTCAATCTTGAATGAATACAGAAGAACATGAAAAAGAACTTATCAATAATTAACAAAACCATTTCATATTTACACTTTCCTATTTAAAGCATAACAGCCCAATTAACAATATGTTAAGATTTCCAACTCAGCACTTACTAATTCTAATTACACAATAATTAACTACTCTATTTTTCTTGCAACATGACTAGTTAATTAACTAAACCTGCAGCAAATGATTTCCCTTCCTGCCCATCCAAGAATTGTTTTTACCACTTTCTAAAAACTCAAATAAAAAAAATGCATTAAAGATACATGCAAGAATGACAAGGTTTGATAGCGTTTATATGTTTCAAGGGTCACTTTGTAGCCCACGCAAATAATTGTTAACCTTTTAATGTCTCTTGCAGTTTCACTTAAAAATTAGTAGTAGTTAGAGTACTAATGTCAAGTGCCACCGAAAAATAAAAGAAACAATAATCTTTCCAATTTATTTACAAATACGACACAGGCTGAAAAAGAAGAGGACATGCATATGTAAACCAGCTAGGTATGATGTCAAAGTAGTAGCATCAGGATAGTTATACACACACACACACACACACACACATATATATATATATATATATATATATATATATATATATATATATATATATATATATATATATATATATATATATATTAAACAATAATCTTTCCAAGTTATTACAAATACGACACAGGCTGCAAAAGAAGAAGACATGCATATGTAAACCAGCTAGGTATGATGTCAAAGTAGTAGCATCAGGATAGTTATATATATATATATATATATATATATATATATATATATATATATATATATATATATATATATATATATATATATATATATATATGTATATTTCTAGAAAACATGGCTTACCTGCATGGTTGTTGGGAAGGACTGGATCAAGAAGCGAGCGGCAATCAACAAGTGTTACTACAGCATACTTTTCTTTTTGGTAATTAGGAAGGCATTTAGAGGTCCATGCGGCCATCATTCCAGCTGCTGCAAGTGCCCCACAAAGTTTAATCCCTCTTGACTTGCATCCCTACATGATTTTCATAGTTAACTTAATCCATCAAAGTAATCAGACCATAAGCAAAAAGCGAGTACGTACTACAGAGTAGGATGCCATATTCACACTTCACAACAATCAGATTGCAACTTGGATGCATAAAAAGTATCAAATAGTTTTGGCTTTTTGAAGAAAAAATTTGTTAGGCAAGAAGGCTAATACTATGTTTTCTCACTAGTTACTTTATCTAAAGCATGGATGTTAACTAAAAATACTTAGAAAAAGAAAAATATGACATTGTAGCTGATAAAAGTTATAAATTATAATTGGCTGCAATTTTCTCCCACTTAAAGATGAATTATCATCTACCAATGTATTTAGTTGATAAATCCAATATTGATATTCTAAAGAATTTGGATCAAACTATTGAGCTGCAACCTGTGAGACTGAAGCACACACCCCTCATTCTCCCTTCCTAATAACTTTTAACTTTTAAGATTAATCAACGACTTCTATATGATGTGCTAATTAAGTTTTATTTGTCGAAAAATATGGATAGTATTTTCACCCCCTTTAAGAAAAGAGCAAATCCAGCCCTTGGAAATAAATAGAGATTGCAATAGTCTAGATTAATTTATTTTAACAGTTGAAAATAGATTGCGAATTCTCATAAGCTCAATTAAATAGTCCAATAATACATTTTCATTTTCATTTCTTACTTGACACCGATTCGGATTTCACACCAATACAAATAATGCGAACATAAAAATTCAAGGTACTCTAATTGAAGACTTAGTTAGACTAATGATTAAAGGAAATGTTGGAAAGATTAAAGAAACATTAGAAAAGAAGGTGACTCTTTTCCTAGAGGTCCAACCGTTAAAAGACCAAAGAAATTCAAGAGGCTACGCATTACAGACATAGGCCCCTTCAAAACTATTACTTTAATATTTGATTAGTTTACCATGAACAAATTAATTTTTCTTGTAATTTTTTTATTTTCTTATTCTTTTATTTAATTATAAATAATAATGATTGAGAATTCATCTCTTATGACTATCATTCTTCGACTAATTTGATTATAATATTTTTTTATTCAAGTTTTTTTTTTTTTTTAATTCTTAATTCATTTCAAATCCAATTTTATCTAGAAACATATCAACTACGATAATTAGAAAGAAAAAGAGGGGTTGGGTTGGCAACTCACAGCTAGAAGGTTCTTGGTTTCATCAGCATTCAGTTGCAACCTCACTATCCTCGAACTTCGAGGCGAAGCAGCGTCCACGAAGTTCAAATTTGCGAATCTGAGAGCGTTTAGCGAGTACCCAAGTACGTCCAGCCCACGCGCCCAGAACGGCTTGTGCGTCCTTCCCTCGGGGATCAGATCCTCGATCGCCAAACTCACCGTCTCTTTTTCGGTCTCGACGGCGCAGGCGCCGGCAAAGAGGCACAGGAGCTCCCTGAGAAGCGCTACCGCGGCGGCACGGTCGCACGCGGCGGTGTGGAGGCGGAGGAACACGGTGAAACGGTCGCACGCCACGTTATATACGGAGGCGTGGAGCACGTCGAGGTCGCGTAGAGCGTAATCGCGCCAAGTGTCATGGTTCATCTGGTGCTCGAGGAGCGCGTGGAAGGTGTCATCGTGGCCGTTGGACTGGGCCTGAACGATGTGGGCCGTTGATTCGAGATCGAAGGGTTCGACTTGGACGTTGGGGGAAGGAGGGGTGAGGAAGTGGAAAGTGTTGGTAGAGGGGTCGAGGTGGATCTTGGAGCGGAGGATAGGGTGGGCATTTTGGAGATTGTGGAGGGCATTTTGGAGAATTGTAATTTCAGGTGGTTTCGAGAGGAGGAGACTAAGCACAGTGACGCCGGTGCCGATGGGAACGGCCTTGCACCAGCTGAACTCCGTCCCGCCGACTGGGCGGATGTCGGTGGGCTCGGATGTTTCTGGGCTTTGGGCCTCGGTCTCGCCGTTTTGGGCCATTTGGATGGAACTCAGCTGTAACGAGTAAGTGACTGAGAAAAGAGACGAGTCAAAGGGGAAGTGAAAGCGGATAAGGATACCTATGTTGTCTTAATTGCATAAAACCTAATGTCTTTTTGTTGCCGTTAAGCATACCTATGTTATCTTAATTGCATAAAACCTAATGTCTTTTTGCCGTTAACAGGAAGTGTGTATAGCATTCATTTTTTTTTATTTGTATTATTCATGATTTGTCTTTCTTATTCAATTTTTTAATCTAATTTTTTTAAATAATATTTTTATTTATAAAACTCCAATTAAATGTTATTATATATGAGCATATAACTACGAGTAAGCCTCAATATATTTATGACTATGTCATGGTGTTATTTATTATTGTGTCATTGGGTTTTTGTTTTTTTTTTAATATGTAATTTATTTTATGGCTTTATACCCATTATTATCTGAATATTCAATCACTTTACCGGTACAACACAAATATTTAATATATTTATAATACATACACAATCATAAATATCTATAATAAATAATATTTAATATTAGCTTAATTAGAATTCTACAAAATTATTATAAACATTATTAGTATACACAAATAATTAGTCAATTATCTTAATATTTTGTTAAAAGGTCATCATAATGTATATAATATTATTTTAACTAGCAAATTTATAAATATATTAAAATAATGAGTTGGATAAAATATTAACTTAAAGATACTAATTGAAATCGACATGGTAAAAATCGAGATTAAGATGTTAAAAATCGAGGAGGTGAAAATCAATATTGATCATAAAAATTGATATTGATATAGTAAAAATTGATAGGGTAAAAATTGAGATCGAAATGGTAAAGATCGAGAGAATGAAAATTGAGATCGAGATAGTAAGGATAGAGAAGAATCCAAAATCGAGAATATAAGTAATTTAAAATCAATTGAGAGATGTATAGGAAATCAATATCGAGGTAAACAATTAATCAAAACTCTAAATCGACAAATCAAATAATTAAAAGTTAATATTAATCAAAAGGGAAATCGAGATGAAAGTGAGGTGGTAAGGGAGAATCGAAGAATCAGATAATCGAGGATTCATAATGATCGAAAGGGAAATAAAAAAGAGGCAAGACAATAATTGAAGATCAAAGAAATCAAAGGTTCATAATGATTAGAGGGGGGAATCAAGAAACAAATAGGAAAAAGCAGCTAATGTTATTGGTGGTCGATCGAAGACTAAAAAATATTGAGAAAGATAAAGGAGATATTATACAAGACAAGGAATCGAGAAATAGTTAAACAATCCAGAAAGAGAAGGAATCGAAAAGGAGTTATTATAATAAAGAAGTATGCAAAAGCAATTATAACTCTATGATGTGACCTTAATGGTTTACAAGTGTTACATGACAATAGAAACTACTCGAGAAAGAAGAGAAAATGGTTAATAGAGGGAAATCGTTTTTATTTTATTTTATTTTATTTTCTTAGTCGTTACATAAAATAAAGTACAAATAGAATAAAATAAGTATAATTAAGGGTGACAAATTGTTACAAGATACTCACATTTTGAAAAGATGTCATAGACAAGGAAAATGTTATTTCAATGAAGTTATTGGCAATTTGGGTCATTACTTTCATTGGGTTTCTTGGGAAGATGACAAATTGTTGGAAGACACTCACATTCTGAAAAGACATCGCAGATAAGAAAATATTATTTCAATGGAGTTCTTACCAATTTAGATCACCACTTTCATTAAATTTCTTTGATAGTTTCTCTTTTATCCTTGGTAATGGGTTATATTGACTTCTCCTGCAATTTACTCTTCTTGCACTTTTACTCTTCTTGCACATTTACTTTACTCACACATTTACTTTTAATGTTTGAACAACATGTTGAAAATCAAATTAATATGTGAAATCCCTTATAGAAGTTGACATTATATTAATTATTCAATTATAAGTGTGGTTGTGGTCAAAGCTTAATTGGAATAATTCTCTAATTGAAATTTTTTTACTTGCTAGTTTAAACAAAAAAAACTCATAGGTGATAAATTGGTTATTATTTTGTATTGGAAAAAGTGGTACGCTAGAAATTGAATAGTGAAATCAAACCAATTTATACTAGAAACAATGTGTTAATCAAGTTGATGAAGTATATTGCTCGTGTGCATCTAATATATTTTTTGACATCTATATCCACGATAGACATGTCCACTACATTATATTTAAATAAGTTTTTATAAATATAATTTATATATAACTAATTTTATGGTGTATAACTGTCTTTAAACATATATTTGTCTTAGTTAATCCCAACCATTTTCTATTCCTGGTTGCACAGTGGTCGTTATTCATTGCATTATGTAATTGGCTCACTCATATTCCCTAGTTTGTATATTACACTATAACTCAAAATATAGAAATTCAATTAGTTTGTTAGAAAAAAAAAAGAAACCAAAAAATAAATATTTGTAATTATACTTTTAGATGCAACCACGTGAGCTTTTACGGCCTTCCACTAAGCCTACTACTCTTTATGTTAAATCCAATGAAAGTACTAATAATATATACACTAATTTAAAACATAAAAACATAATTGTAATATAATAATATATATATATATATATATATATATATATATATATACATAGAGAGAGAGAGAGAGAGAAATTTTCTTTCAATTTGTTATTTGTTTAATGTATATATGCGACTTTACAATAAACAAAACTATGCAATTCCTTTCTTGAATGAATGGTATGTTTAGGAATGCCTTTAAAATGTTGTATGAATAGCCATAGATTTTCTGAGCTTTCAATTTTATAATCTTTTATGTTGTCTTAGATGTCATATGTAGTCCTCATATGTTCATAACTCCACAGATGTTGTCCCATATATGTTAGAAAATAAATTTGTTATTGAAACCAAGTGTTTAGGAACCAAACCATGTGTGTTGGCTTGTACTTTTGAGTTATTCTTTTTTGTTATTAGATCATTAGCAAAATTTCAAACATTAAATTTTGCATTACCATTTACAAGCCATGTGGTTTAAGTTTCCTTTAATTTTCAAGTTGAATCACTTATTTGAACATTCCATGTATGCTATGAAATCAGGCCTACATGAAGTTAAATATGATTTGAATTGCTTTGAAATTGTTTGAATGAAAAAGGCTTAGTCTCAAGAATGAAAGCAAAAGAAATTCGGGAATAGAAAAGAAATAAAAGTGGAAAAAATTGAGACTTAGAAACAAATATTGTTTACAATTCATGAATTAGTCTCACACTCCTAAAGAAAGCTTGGAGGTGCAAGAAGAGTGAAACATTTGACCAAATGAGGATCCCTACAATTGTGACGAAAAATTTCATCACATTCATCACAAAACAGCCTTGTAGTAGAAATCTGTCACAAAATTCATTGTACTACAAAAATTTTGTTGCTAATTCTTTATTGTAATTTTGTCACGGATTGTCTTGTTATAATTTTCTTTGTTGTAATTTTTTTCTTGGGTGTTGTAAGAAAATGTCTTTGGTACAATCTCATCTCCCATCCTAAACTTTGTAATAGTAAAGGCATTAGTCTTGTGGAAGTATTCCAAGAGGCTCCTTAAGTGTCACTTGAACTTTCACCCTTGGAGTTTTGTCTAGTTTACTTTGAGTTAATTTTTTGCAATTAGAATTTTATTTTCCAAATCTAGGTGATTGTTAACTGATTAGTTTACCTTCCTTTGGTATTAGGGGTCTGACACTCACACTTAAAAGATTTCTTGTGAAAATCTTTTGTTACTTCATTTTTGTGAAAACCTTTTCAAAACTTTTATGAAAATATTTTTTTGATAAAAAATAATTGACCATTCTCAAGGACGACCTTTCGAAAACCTCGCCCCTAGGTTAGCCCGGTTATCGGACAACCTAAAGGCGTTGTAACCACCCATAAAAAACGCAAAAATCAAAAAGAGTCGAAACCATCGCGTCGCTCCGACCGCCTTTCTCTTTTTTTGACGGCGGCGACAGTGACCCACGAAGGTACTGACGACGTTAAGAGAGTACAGAAAAATTCCTTAATCCAAGAATACGAGATGTTCTGGATGCAACAAGGCGAAACTATATTCGACGTTCAAAAGCGTTTCACTCATATTGTGAACCATCTCACCGGATTAGGTAAAATCTTTGACGTTGATGAATTGAATGTTAAAAAATTTTAAAATCTTTGGATAGGAAATGGAAACCTAAGGTGACGGTCATCTCAGAGTCACAAAACCTTGGCACTACGTCTATGGCGGCGCTATTTGGAAAGCTAAGAGAGCATGAGTTTGAGCTTGGAAGGCTAAATGAAGAAGAAGGACAATATCAAAAGAAGAACTTAGCCTTCAAAACCAAAATTTCCAAAGGTAAAAATAAAAAGGAAGAAGAAGACTCGGAAAATGAAGAAGAAGAATTGAGTCTTATGATAAAGAAGTTCACCAAATTCATGAAAGCTAAAGGAAGGCATCCATTCAAAGGTAAGGGAAAGGTAAGAGAAATTACTTCCGTAAATATAAAAATGTTATGGTTGTGGTGAAGTAGGACATGTAAAGACCGAATGTCCAAATAAGAAGAACGAAGAAATCAAAAGAAAAAAGTTCTTCAAGAAGAAAGCCTATATTGATTGGGACAACAGTGATTCAAGTTCGGAATCAAGTGACTCGGAAGTAGAAGCCAATATTTGCTTAATGACAAATGACAACATATCTTCCGACTTTGAGGTAAGTGATTCCGACTCATCCTCAAGTGATGATGAAAATAACTATGATGAACTGCAAAATGCATATAATGAACTGTTTAATGCCTTTAAGAACTTGAAAAATGAATATAAAGTTGTGAAGAAGAATTTAAGTAGATCCGAAAAGGAAATTGACTCATTAAAAACGAAAATCACATGCTTAGAGGAAAAAGAAACCTTAGTGTAGACCCCAAATCTTGCCCGGCTTAACAATAAAGACTAGAAGACCTCCTTTTCAAAGATGGACGAAGC